GACACGTCGCACGTGGCGAGTAGAGAGTCGCGTCGCCGAAGCGACACGCCGTCAACAACTCTGTGCAACGAAGGCGGTAGAGGTCTCGTTCACGAGGTTCGGTGCACTCGGAGCTCGCGCTCCGGAACACGCAGAGTCCGCCCCAAGACCTCTCCTCCCCCGAAGGAGGACGAAAGGAAAGGGGGCGAGTGGTGTCAACAGACACTCCGACAAGCATGCTCCCAGGCATATCCCGGAAGCGCAAGATGCGTTCAAAGTTTTGATGATTCACTGGATTCTGCAAGTCGCAAGACGTATCGCATTTCGCTGCGTTCTTCATCGTTGTGGGAGCCAAGACATCCGTCGCTGAAAGTTTTACAACGTTAAAAGGTTGAGAAGGCGCGCAGTCCGCGTCGGAACGCGCGCGCGCGCCTCCTTTTGAGTTCAGATTCAGAAGTTACTTGGGTAAGAAAAAGAAGTACGCTTTGATTCGAGACTCGGCGCGTTTGATTGCGCTGACCTCGGCGAGACGCCCCTCGCCCGACCGATAATATCAAAAGTCATTTCACGTGTTCCCTTCTCTCCCCCCATATCAGGTCCGGCTCTCTCGAACCCCCCCCACGAGACAAGCCCCCCTCTCTCTCCGAGCGTCCCCTTCCCCGAGACCCATCCGGCAAGCAAGCAGCAGCTTCCAACGACAGACACCTGCCCGACTTATAGGTCGATGCGCGAGCAATGCCTGAGGATGAAGTCTGTCGACGGGTACTGGCAAGATGGATTCAAAGACCACATGCCAGAACGAGACTTCAACGGAAAGGGTTGGGGTATCAACCCCAAGGCGAAGGGCAGCAACGCGTCAGCACTCACAGGAGAGAATTGCGTTATGTGGATGTCGGAGCATTCTGACATCGGTCCCGATGGGAAGTNTGATTGCGCTGACCTCGGCGAGACGCCCCTCGCCCGACCGATAATATCAAAAGTCATTTCACGTGTTCCTTTTCCCCCCATATCAGGTCCGGCTCTCTCAAACCCCCCCCACAAGACAAGCCCCCCTCTCTCTCCGAGCGTCCCCTTCCCCGAGACCCATCCGGCAAGCAAGCAGCAGCTTCCAACGACAGACACCTGCCCGACTTATAGGTCGATGCGCGAGCAATGCCTGAGGATGAAGTCTGTCGACGGGTACTGGCAAGATGGATTCAAAGACCACATGCCAGAACGAGACTTCAACGGAAAGGGTTGGGGTATCAACCCCAAGGCGAAGGGCAGCAACGCGTCAGCACTCACAGGAGAGAATTGCGTTATGTGGATGTCGGAGCATTCTGACATCGGTCCCGATGGGAAGTTGGTCACGATGACGTGCGGTTGCGACCCGGTGAAGGCCTTAAAGCATAACTGTAGGGGGTGCGGGTGCAAATGGCGCAAGTGCTCCCTTGCTTGCGGCTGCAGGGGCCGTTGCCATTTGGGTCGCAAGCTTGTACCCGGTGCACCGACCCGCCAGGCCACGTACACCGGTCCTGCCGGTGCTGCACACTCCGCAGTCGTTGACAGCGCCATGACGGCTCTTCTGGCGTCCCGGAACGCTAGAACGGACGAGGAAGAGGAAGACCCGGACGATCCCGGTTCGGACGATGACGACACCGGCCGTTCGGACAGTGACTCGGACGATTTTCTGGAGCTGGAAGCGGAAGAGTCGGCTGACAGCGACTTAGACTCTGATGAGTCCGACCCTGGGTGGGGCGGTGTCGGTGAGGTCAACGCTCAGGACGATGCAAACTCTGAGGGCGAAGCATGGTTCTGACCGAGTTTCATCAGGTGTGTTTGGCCATCCTATCGCTATTCATTTTTCTTCTTGTGTAGACATGTGCGAGTGTTGATGTCGCCTATATTTTGTTCGTCGCCTAGTGATCATGTTGGTGTATCGCGCCGGTGCCATACCGAGCCCACAAGATGCGGTCTGCGTATCGTGTTTCAGGTAACAAACTTCCGCGAGATGATTTCGTCCAATGGCGGCTCCCCCGTTCGGCGTTGGTCAGGACTTACTGGCTTCGACCCCCTGCTTGGGTTTCGAGCATGTTTCCGGGTGAAGCGGATATCGGCTGCGGCAACAATGGCGTTGGCGCAGGGTTTAGGCAGTGGCACGGCGGGGTTTCGGGAGTATTGATTATGTCTCCCTGCGCTTATTGTTCCCCCGCGTCCGGGAATGTAGCGATTCAAGTGCTTGTATTTTCTCAAGGTTACATGTGCTGTAGATGTATAGTGTCGGATTCCTTTAATCGTGAAATTTAAAGTTATTGCGTTGGGCCTACGGTATCATCATGGTGTGCACAAAGATACACACACGGCAAACGACGTTGTTTTTGGAGCTTCACCCTCATTTTTTTTTTGTGTATATTCTCTGCGCTAGTAGGTCCACCTGGCGAATTATCTCACGTTCANACGGTATCATCATGGTGTGCACAAAGACACACACACGGCAAACGACGTTGTTTTTGGAGCTTCACGGGGGGGGAGTCTGAATGGAAACACGCGAACTCACGTAGCGGTACTTCGAATATGTTGTGTTTCGGTCTGTTTCGTTCTTTACTTGTTTTCGAAAGACGCACGACGACACAACTCCATTAACCAGTCGGATTTCACCGGAGTACAAAAGGGATACATGCCCGTGCGGGCCCCAACGGGGCATCCTGACGGCCGCAGCTGCTGCTGCGTACGTGTGCGCCGTATTTTTCTTACGTGACTTTGTTTGCCTTTCGATGTGTGTANAGCGGTACTTCGAATATGTTGTGTTTCGGTCTGTTTCGTTCTTTACTTGTCTTCGAATGACGCACGACGACACAACTCCATTAACCAGTCGGATTTCACCGGAGTACAAAAGGGATACATGCCCGTGCGGGCCCCAACGGGGCATCCTGACGGCCGCAGCTGCTGCTGCGTACGTGTGCGCCGTATTTTTCTTACGTGACTTTGTTTGCCTTTCGATGTGTGTATATGGCGGCGCAACACTACAGGACACTGTAGGAGATAAAGTAACCGTTTTCAGTTCAAATATGGACGCACGCCATTTGCAATTACTTCACCTGTACCGCGTGTTGCACCAAAGTTCAAATTGCAGTAGAACCGCAAGCCTCACAGCAAGCCCATCCTGTGTCTCATACCACGAGTAGCGCGTCCAAAGATAAGCACGCTTGATCCGCGCAATATCTCTTTTTCCAAGCGATAAGTACCTCTGCCTCGGAAGCACTTCTGGGCACAATACTCGATATGTGTACTCCTCGTGTCATTGTTCGTAATTGTGTAAAGTTTCGTGTCGATCGGTTAGGAATAGGGCGCGTTCTCGTGTTAACCCTTCTGTGGCTACCGTCACTTTTTTTTTATCATTTTTTTTATCACTCTGGCTCAAAAGCCCGGTCTTCTCAAGGAGGGGATGATAAGGAAAATATCCCGAACCAAATGCAAGGGAGTTGTATAGCAGGCAGGACGCCTACAGAGATCTGCAGCTCTGCAGCGTAGCTTGTGCACACACCTCCACAAGCGCCGCGTTGGGGTATGCATGGCAGGTTATACAAGGCACGTGAGGGCCGCAGCCTGGCTGGGAGCAACTCTCTTCACCCTCGCTGCTCCGCAAGCGCTGGCGCTGCCTCGCTAGGGATGCCGAAGGTCGCAGGGGGGGTGGGGGGTACTTGCGGGGGGCGAGAAGTACAGAAGTACATTCGGGCATAAAACCCTTCGCCGGGAAAAAATTGATCACTCAGAACGTCAAATAGCAAGCAAAAATTGATCACTCAAGTGTACTGAAAATAGACTGCTCAAGGCTGACCAGCCGATTTTGGAGAGGTGTACAACACTGGTGTTTGAGGAGGAAATCGACAGGCACCCCTTCTAGTGTCCATACTGAAATGCTGAGCCGGTCGCGGGGTCGCGGGACAGCCCCTGGGCGTCTAGGGCTCAGCTGCGTCAGAAGTACATCAGCACCACGTCTGTACTTTTTGGTGCGTGCGGATTGGCCAACCCCACACACTGCTGACAGTCCCAGGCTAGTCATTTTTTTTGGCGACGAGGAGCCCAGCGCCAGAAGGGTTAAGCTTGCCGCGCGAGCACACCACAGGAGGTTCGGCCGCAGCAGGCGCATGGATCACGTTTTTTCGGCAGAGTCTCGGAGCCTGCGCCGAGCAGTTCTCGCGCTATAGTCAACGAAATTTCGTGAAACCAGCTTCTCTGAATAGCTAGTGGTCTATTTTACTTGCTGTACGCCGACAAAGGTGGTAGCGCGGACGTCTGATCGCCGGTGGGCTAGCCAACTGCCATTTTTTGTGTTGAGCCGCTTATTTTTTTTTTTATCAGGCGTGCAGCACTGGTTTTTTTGGCCCCAAATTCCGCCGCTTTGACAGTTGTTCCTGCAGTTGAGAAATCGAGCTTCGACAATCGGTCAAAGGGGGGGGGTGCTATCTTGTGTCATATACCGTACTACGCTGTAGATCGAGGTGGTGGATGTAGACTGGGGGTGGTATTGCGTCGCGCGGATCCCGCACCGGCAGGCTTTAAGTAGCGTTCCTGGCGGCTGCGAAGGAATCTCGGGGGGGGACCTACACGGCAACGCCGATACATGATGCCAACTGTTTAGGATGAATCGGGGGGCTTACTTTTGTCTGGTTTCCTCCTGCTCCGTGGGGAATGGTCACTGAGCATGATATCTGTCGCGCTCTCCCCGGCGAAGATGGTTCCCAGTTGGCATGGCCAGGAACAATTCCATCGACCATCTGCAAGCGAAACTCCAACAGGCGATGCGGAAACTCCATCGTGAGTTTGGTGGTGTGAGGTGGTTGTCACGTAATCCGAATCCAAATTCCAGCACCTGGTTCTGGTAGGTACCTGCTCCGTCAAACCATTGGTGTTCCCCCCCTTTGCCTCTCGCCTCTCGCCTGTGCTGCTGCTGCTGCTGTGTGCTGCGGTTTGTGTGATCTCCCCAGCAGCTGTGGCGATGGAACTTGACGGTGTTGGCACAGGTCCTGGAGGGAAGCGAGTCGCCTACCTGGCCGACAAACTGTCGGCGGGAGGAGCAGCGTCCGAGGGTATGCACAACCTAAACAGAACAACAGCACGCTTTCATCGCATTTATCGCTTGCGATGTCCGTAACGGCCGTAGCCTACAGCAGCAGCAGCCTCTGAAAGGAAAACCGTGTGTATGCATGACGGTGGGCTATGTAAGGTGTCGACATCCTGCAAGGGTAGGGGATGTTCGTGTTGTGTTGTGCGGTAGTGACGTAGTGACGATGATCAAACATTGCAAATTGTCGGCACCAACCTCCAGCCGCTGCTAATTATACAGAGCTGTTCGGTGTGCGGTTGTTCAGCAGCAGTCGATGCCTCCGGCAAAGTTATTCGGACGTGGTCGCTTTGTCTCGGTAATGCTGTTGTTATGTTCACCATCCTCCTCTATCTACCAGATTTACGAAGTTTGTTCGCCTTAAACAGCAGTAGTCGTATGCATATACTACTCGCGGGAGAAGGGAGATAACCGCGGGCGACGCGGGGGGGGAGTGCTGCACCCTCCTCGTCCAAACACCACAGGCAAGCACCGACGGGTTTGACGTCGGCCAAGGTCTCCGACAGGGGTGCAACCTGGCCCCGCTGCTGTTCAACTTGTTCTCTGCCGCGATGCGCATGGTCGCAGTGACCGAGTTCGACAAGGACCCCAAGGTGACGGCGGATATGATCAAGATCGCAACACGAGTGGAGTGCACGGGCAAGAGGGGCAGGTCGGCGGGGAAGAAGGCGATGATGGTGACGGTCGCAGAGGCCCTGTGGGACATGCTCTACGCTGACGACGCGGCCATCGTCTCGCT